TGCAGCACTGACCCATGGCACCCCACACGCCGCAGCAGCTCTGTGTGTCGCTGCAGAGCAAGCACACCAGCCACCAGCCCGTCTTCCCCTTTGCTCTCACATGATACACACACGCTTCAGCACAACCTCTTATCAAACCCGTGCTCCCTAACTGCAATCACATCTCCTCACCTAACACACTCAACACCTTCCACTCTCGCCCAAGCTCCTGCTAATCAAAGCATCCACCACATTCCTGCAGATGCTGGCTGATGCGCTCCCGTGGAAAGGCCCTCGCTCCTGACACTGTGAGCGCCCCTAGACAGACGGCAGCCTCGGAGGCTGCAGAGAGACCATGCTCCCAGCCATGCCATGAGAGAGGTGATGGCACAGGAGCCCCATTCCCTGCTGTCCCAGCAGCACTGACTGGCAGCTGCAGCCAGGACCACCCATAAAACCAGGAAAGCCCTTTCCAGCCAGGCATTGTCTCAGCTCTGCTTGTGACTTCGCCAGCACTGCCAAGATGCAGTGCCGGACCCGGCACAGCACGGTGCCAGGATTGCAGCCCCTGGGTGCTGGGGCAGGAGGTGAGCAGCATCGCCAGGGATGCTGCACACCCCTCTGGGACATCCATGCCCACAGGGACGGGGACAAGGATGACCCTCCCCACCCCGCAGGGCTGGCCAAGCGGGAGGGTCTCCCCTCCTCGATGAATGCGCCCCAGGGCCATGAAGCTGACTGCTCAGGGCAGAGGGGGACTCCTGCATGGCACAGGGAGAGGTTTTACTTCCATGCAATATGTGGTCCCAAAACATCATCCCTGTGAGTGCTGCTGGTACGTCTGCTCACAGGCAAGTCATGGCAGGAGACTTCCAGCACAAGTCTGTGTCCAGCCGCCCACTTCAAAGGCTCTTCCCAGAAAACACAGAAGTGAAAGCATTACTCAGGCTGGGAGAGAGAGAAAAAAAAAACCACCACCACAAAGGCAGATTTCAGGATTTAATTTGGGATGAAACAGCTCTCAGCCACGTTGTGTTTACAATGGCAGAAATCCTCCCGAGGTGCTAAACCCGCCCTTGCCCTTGCTCAGCCCCAGCACCAAGAAGCTGGTGTCTGCCCAGGCATGAGCACTCGCCAGTGCTTTGCCTCAGCTGGGAGAGCCGGTGCCGCAAGTCCAGCGCAGGCACAGACCCTCTCGCCAGACCCTGCCCACTGCCACAGCGAGCTGCCAGCACGAGAATTAGACAGAGCTGCACCACCCCTGAACAGCGCAGACTCCTGCAAAGAGCCTCCATGCACCAGCCGGCAGCTACAACCAGCTTTCCCCCAGCATCCTTGCTCCGGATGCAACACTGCAGCATCAACCCACCCTTCCTTCTCCCAAGGTGTCACCCAGCGGGACCATGCCACCAGCAACCACTGGAGTCAGGAAGAGCATGGGCAGCCTCATCCCCTCTGAGGTCCTCCTCTCCTGTGGCCCCAAGCCACCTTGCGCTTCCCTCTGGATTGCTCCGACTCCGGGATGCCCAGGGTGGACACCAAGAGGGACAGCAGAGCTCTGGATATGCAGCTGCCCCATCACCAGCCACAGCTCCCATTTGCCAAGGGTCAGACACCAGCCCAGGGTTATGCACCCCGTTAGACCAAGCTACAAATTTGGCCCCAACTACAAACAGCTTGTATCAGATGGCAGCATAGCTCTGCTATCTCTAATACAGAGAGAGCAGGGAGTGCAGGAGATATAAAAATGTCTTTTTTTATTACTACTAATATGAAACAGGGTATATGAAAGTGTTTGCTTACTCGGAGTGAAATTACTCTTGGCAGCAGCAGCTCCAAGAGCAGCAAAGGCCCCACAGAGCTGGTTGGGGTCCAGCCCGACAAAGCACAACTCGTGTTTCATCACCTGAAACAATTCTTATCAATGTCCCTACAGCTCCAGCTTTCCAGTCCCACCCCCAGCGTGCGGAAAGAGGAAACCCAGTCTCCCAGGCAAACTGGGATCACAGTATTAGTACTGCCTGAGAGCAAAGCACCCTCCTTCCCTGATACCAGCGCCAGGGCTCAGGTGCCCTCTCCACGTCTGAGGACCGTGCTGTACCAGGGGCAGCTGCAGGTTGAGACACTTGAGCTCCTGCACCCTGCTCACTGCCCACCACCACATACCCACCGTGACTGTGCCCCACAGGCACCTCCAACCCCTCTTCTTCAGCACGCAGAAATCTGGGACCAGGACACCATCTCTGCTGTTCTCCTGCCTGCATGGGCCAGGGCCCCACTCCAGCACCTCAGAGGCAGGGAAGTGAACGTGATAGAAGGGAAAGTTCTGCTGTTCCTTCAGCCTCATTGCTCCTTCCTTTACAAATCACTCAGAAGGAGGAAACCTGCCAGAAGACACATTAGGGCTGTAACAGGAGAAGGCTGCAGGCAAGGAGCTGTCAGTCACGGGAAAAAATAAACAGCACATATTGATTG